CTCCAAAACTATGCAATGGTCTTTTAGCAATTTTAATAAACCAAAACCGGTGTTTTGCACGAAAAAAACATTCGTACGTCTTTTTTGCCTTGTGTTTAAAACTAGAAATTTGCTAGGATTCTAGGATTCTATTATTTATAAATTTTCGAGTTTATCACTAAGTTTATACTGATAAGCTTGTTTTACCTTGTTTACATCCATGTAATGCAACGTGTATTGAACAATTTTTTCCTTTGTTACAACCAGATGGTACATACAAATAACCTGTTTTGTCGAAACCATTATTTGAAAAAGTTGTTGCAGTTGGAAATGTGAAACCAAAAATGTTCCATTCGATGATAAATAATTAACAGGATTATAGAGTTGTAATGTTGCGTCTATCCATTGTGACCATAAATCAAATATACCACGCTGCTCTTGTTGTTTTAAGGGTGTTGTTGTTACTTGTAATGGTGGATCTATAAATGCATTTTGATCGAACTCTAATAACTTTCCTTTTAATATTGTCGATGTTGTTCATGGTTTTACCAAAAATAGTTTAGCTTATCATAAACTAAATTAAAATTACAATTATTTATATATTGAGTTGATTCTAATATTTCACATTTTCCACCATAATTGTCTGTAACAAATCCATGATTAGCCATTGTATCATAATTTGTTTTTATACGAACATTGTAAGGTTTATATATTTGTTCATTTACTTTATCAACATTTTCTGCAATAGTACGATCAGATTTACCATGAAATATATATACTGGACTTGATGACAAATTATCCACTTTGTCAATTAGCGCTGATGATACATAAGATTTGATTTTATTCGTAATGGATGATACAGATATCAAAGTTGCTGGGCCATTCATACATGCATTCATATTCATTATATTTCCTAAACAGCACAAAAAGAAAGTGGAAAACCCCAGAAAATTAATTAAGAACAGAAATATCGAAAGAACGTTAAAATATTTCGAAAACAGAAGAGACGACATTATTTTGAAGTTGAATTCATAGTTAATACTACTAATGGTTAGTTTCAGTGATTTGTGCGTATTATCAACTACTCGAGACGCAAATATCACCCCAAAGAATTATTATTAACTTCACTTTCTGTTTGATTTCCGTTTTTATACTAAAACGCCATAAATTTTCGAATGAAAAGGCAATTGGCTGTACACCTACTTCTAGAGCAGAATTGCCAGCAGCTACTTGCCTTTTCATTCGTTTGGTTTCATAGTTTGGTGACCGAACATGTTCGGTAGCAAACTGTTCGATGCCGATTAGCGATTCCTAGCTTGGGATTGTTGCATGCCTATTATAGAAGCAGTCCAAAAGTCTATAAACACTTTTTTTATAGGTTTTCAGATATGCTCTCCTTTATAAAGTTCTAGAATACTCATGTGTGGCTTTTATAGAGATCCGGTTTCTGAGAACCCCGATGAAAGCCTCTTTGAACTTTATAATCAGTACTACGTAAAAAGAATAAATCTTTGTTATTACGTAAAGACTTTACTGACACAATTGGTAAAACGAGCAATGATAAAACTTTTTGAAAATATGCGCATGCATGAAGTCTTAAATGTAAAGGTCATACAAATGATATTAATACAATAATGTTATACGAAACTGAAAATCCCAATCAGCAAGCATGCAACGGTAACGGCAACTTACTGATTTCCGTTCCACCGATAACCATTACCACCGCATGTTTCTGGAAATGATCGTTTAATTATATTTTTATCTGTTGAATAATATGTCGTCTTTGGCGAATTTTTTCTGACATTTCTGTTATTTCTAATCTTCAATCAATGGATTTATTTTTTCGGTAATGCGAATCTTTTTTTTATCAAATATATGCTGTATATGTCATTTATCGAATCGACTAAACCGAAGGTGAACGTCGCTTATAGCCAGAAAGAAGAGCTTATCAAAAAACGTGGAGATGGAAATAGCAATCTGATCCGAAAAAATTATTCTATGTACCAATAATGCGCTTGCGAGTGGCCTAAGAGCGGTTTTTAATGCTGAAGCCACTTGTCTACTATGTATCTAAAACAGACCTATTGCTATAGTGAGTTTAATGGCTTGTCCACATAATGCGACACTTCGCTGGTCAAGTTTTTTTTCATCGGAAAATCCATAGGAGCCCATCATCGGACGTAATTTTTCATGCTGATCACGAATTCGGCCTTCATTTTGAAAAAAAAACAGAATTTTCAATTGCAAAATTTAAATTTAAAAATTTTGAAAACTTTAATTTTAATTTTATGACCTAGAGATTTTCGTAAAATAATTTTAAAAATATACTGTCGAATAGAGAATTCAATTCTCTACACAATGGCCCGTTTTGTTTTGAGAAATATTTCTTAGTCGAGGCACAAGTGCTGCTTGCAAGTTTGAACTCCCGACTCGATTTAAAAGCCTGAGACACCTTTTGGAACTTCTTTTGCAAGTGGAGTATCTTTAGGAAGGCTAGAAGTACTCAAGCTATAAGTATGAAGTTGCTTGAAGAGCGCTGAGTGCCCTAAAATGGTGTGACAAAAAAATGTGTAACGGCTTATGTTTGTTTTTTGCTTTTTTTTACGCGAGTAAAACTAGTTAGAAGAAAATTTTTTTTACCGCTGGAAAGTTTGTTCCATGCTCTACAAAATTAGCTCTAGGGGCATTTCATTTGGAGAACGACTTTCGCAGACATTTAGGACTTTAGCAAGAGCACTCCGAATTTAGGATCTTTTTATGTAACAGCGTTACGCGATGAATAATCCTTTCTCGAAGCTCCAGACGTCAACCAGAAAACTTCGTTTTATAGCTTACATAGAGTATGATGAGCTGCGTCGAATGGCGTTTGAACGAACTTTCTAGCTCTCAAACTTTCCGAGATAATTGAGAAAAGATGTGTCAAAAACTTAACGGCATTACGTTTGGACAAGCCGTTAACCGATTATTTAACCATGCTTCAGACAAATAAACGTGAATAGACAAGCTAGGCTTTTTGTAACCCTTTCTCGACAATAAAATTTTCTTTTGCATTCTCCTTCATACAAAATAACATCTTAAATAGACGCGGAAACATTATATAACAA